CAAAAAAAAAAAAAAAAAAAAATCCTAATACTGGAAAAAAAATTTGTCCCAGGAGATTGCATGCGTCCTGTTCAAAAGGAGCGAGTCTCACTTTCCTCCAGAAAGATCATTTGTTTTCCCTAAGCAAATATGCCCGCTCTTTCTTGGAGTTATTTTTAACAAGTATTTGCATATCGTTATAGCTGCACTTTACATTTGCTGCAGGCAGATTGTTCTGTCACCTCCCAAAAGCCCTTTCTTCATGGGGCCAGGATTTTTTCTGGCGGTATTGTAGCTTAAGTATAAAAGGCAATAATATTGTCTTCGGCTATAATAAAATTATGCCTATAAATGACTTCTACAAAAGCAAATTATCAACATATTAAGGAATATAATTCGTGTTTTTGTCAGCAGCTTGTTTTGGTGTGTTTTTCATTTAAATAAATGAATATTTGAATAAAGCTACATTTCAGGGTATGCTAGCACAGTCAGTCTTAACACATCACCATGCCTACTTGTTCCATGAAAATCATCCTGCTTCACTGCACATTACATTTGTTTCCGGAGATCAGCTTTACAGAGAGGGACCATACTGTCTCCATAATGAAGTCAACATTTCTGATGTGCAAAGAAATGGTTTCTGCTTTTTCTGGCAACAATGCTGTGAAATAGTTTTTTTCTTCTTAACAATAGCATTGACTTGTCAATACAGCCTGGATGAATATGAACAGAAAAAAGGGTAACACATGTCTGGTTCTTGCCACTTGATAAAGAAGTCAAGGTTGACTGAGCAAAGGTCAGAGCTGAAATAATTTGCATGTATGGCGAGAGAAATGATACCAGATTGCATCTGTCAGGTCTTCCGAAAATGCCAGGTGTCAAACCGTCAACAAAACATAGTGACCATATCATTGGTACAAGTAATATTATTTAAAAGACCATCGAAAAAAGAACATGAGTCAATACTACTTCACAGGCTATAAAAGGAACAACTGTAGGTGAATAGGGCCCTTTTTTTCAAATTGTATTACTGACAAACCCAAATAAATAGTATAGATCCAAAACAGGCATGCCTTACTGAGACTAGAATGTGTGTAGTCTATAGCATTGACCAATAAGCCTTTGTTTATTAGTTGGGGGGGGGGATGTGTGTAGTCTATAGCATTGACCGATAAGCCTTTGTTTATTAGTTGGGGGGGGGATGTGTGTAGTCTATAGCATTGACCGATAAGCCTTTGTTTATTAGTTAATCGACTACCCTGTTACCTCCCTAGCACCCCAGCTCCACCAGTGACTAGCGCCTGATGCTGCAAAGCGAGAAACCGGGGCAATTCTGAGACACTCTCTCTGGGCTAATTCATGCAGAGCACCGAGCCGGCGGCCCTACTTACCGCACAACTTCTCCGTCTCTACGTTGCTGCAAAAGACAGAAAACAACCTCTCGTTAGAGGATGGGGCGCGGC